CAAAAAAACATTCATATCTTGTCTGACATCTTTTCTACAAACTCGGGTTTTCAACTCGGGGTTTCAGTTGAAAACCCGAGTTGAAAACCCGAGTTTGTAGAAAAGATGTCAGACAAGATATGAATGTTTTTTTGAGCTCAAACGAAAGAGCGGGTCGAGAAATGGCGTGCTAGGACCTCTAAAGATGGTTTTGAACCAGGGGAGACTCCTAGACGCCAACGTTCTATACATACTCCTAGACCCCATTGTCCTCCTAGACAATGATGTCACAACTCTGCTGTTCAATTGAAAACAGACATCATCTTTAGAGAGATTTGTCATCTTTAATGACTTCTGCACGCCATTTCTCGACCCGCTCTTTCATTTACCCGAATTGCATTAAACAATTAAAAACAAATGGAGAATTTTTCATCAATATAATTCTCTTTAATTATCTTTAATTGAAATACGATTGGTTTACGAAAACCAATTGCTTCATAAATTCAGAAAACCCCATCGCCACGAAAAACTAATAAATAAATAACGCCGATCACGCATCCTGCACCGTCAGACTAGCGTTTGAATTTGCGCCTCAACTTCCCAATACTGAAACTTCTCTTTGAAAATAATTTCCTCTCCGTAACCCGTGGATCTGATTCACCCCAAAAAAATCATTACCATAAATTCCATCGAGTTTTATGCAAGCAGTCGCTGGAAAGAGGCCGTCCCGACCTTTCCGTCCACCTAGACAAGGCGACTCTAAGAACTCGAGAGATCCATTGTTGTGAAACGGATCGTCGCAGGCTTTGTTGTCACCACCGAGTGAGACGCACTTGAAGCAGTCAATAGCCCTTCCTTGATTGACAATGCACCGGAAAAATCGAGATATTTAAATGCACACATAATACCCCCCTATCTGGGTCAGCCACTGGGTCTTCCACATTTTTCCACGCAATAATAGTTCAGTGAATAATACTCACCTGCTTGAATGGTCATTGCCACCAGCACTGCGAGCGCCCATCGATTGCTCAGTCCCATTTTCAATATTTTTAATCAATCAGTTGCAATTTATAATTGAATTTATCGTTCCCGGGGCGATCATACTCGCGGAGAGTCGAATCAACTCAGCTCTCTGTTTTGATTTCGTTCCCTGGGCAACCGCTCCCCATTGCAACTCATGCTCATTCCAAAATTCAACCGATTCTTCGGGTTTAATTGGCGCAATTTTTTCATCTGACATTCGATGGTTTATTGATTGAGTAATTAATTCGGGGGAAGCAAGTGGTGGTGGAAAAATATTGCGGCCGAGGTGAATTTGATGTTGTGGATTTATGGTTCAGTTGGAGTTCCTCCGGTCTCAGTTGACGTTCGTCGACGACTGAACGAGAGCGTGAAGAAGTTGGCATATATTTAATGGAAAATGGGGTTTTTATGGCCAGAGACACGCGATTTGTGGGTGTGCGCATTGTTAGTGGTGATATTAGCTGCGGGAATGTGATGTTGAAGAGGAATTTATAATTTTGCTTCCGAGAGGCAGCGTTGTACTCGTCAAATTTGAAATTTTTATTTTTTTGTGTGACGATGACCAACTTTGGGCTTAGGAGTTCGAATATGCAGGGAGAGAAATATTCAATAAAAATTCCGTATCTTTTCCGTAATTCCGGAGCGAAATGTGGTTGTAGGAAATTTTACGGAACTGTCACGGAATTTTTCCAGAGCGTTCGGTAGAAAATATTTAAAGTAACGTTCGAACATCTGAAATATACGACCGTCTGGTTTCCGCATATCCGCCAATTTTCGGTATTAATTTGCGTCTGATCAATGATGGATTTGATGCGAAGGAATGAAGTCTGAAATTCGATTAATTCGAGGGCTTGAGGGGGAAGTGAGAGACAGGTGGAGAGGAGTTCAAGGTTGGAATTACGAATTTTACGAGGGGAACGGAGGATGGATCAAAGTAATATTAAAATTCATTCCCCAGAAAATGATAAAAACTCTTTTATTCGTGCGTTGAAATCTTGGATATCCTTAAAACGTCAACGATTTGAAAAGAAGTGGATAATTGCATTTTTTAATAAATGAGTATACTAATTGCCAACAAATTAGCGATTTGCGTACAAATGTTCTCTTTTTTAAATTCTAATTTCACTATTCTTTTCTTCTATTTTTTCATGTCATAGTAGGAAAGGTTGGGGTAAAATGGACACTTTTGACATTTTTAAAAATATTATCGACGGGTTGAAATGTTGATGAAGCTTTCTTTTTTTTTCAATACAAAGAACAACTCTGTCCCTTTGTGATGAGCCTAAATTGAGCTCAACTCATGAATTTGTTTCTGAGTTGGGAATATTTTTAAAAAAGTCTAAAGTGACCATTTTACTCTACTCTCTCCAAAATTTTCGGAGCCAGAAACCGAAAAAAAAATAATATCAGCAATTAAAATCCTGGCGGTTATAGCCCCTCCACCCAAGACAAACCCCAAAAAAATCAATTTCCCCGCTCAGAACGGCTAATCCACCGCAAAATCCTCGCCCTAATCGACCCTTTATTTCAAAACCCCGCGCGTCGCTCATGCGCACAGCGCTAAAACCCGTCCCAACACATAGAAACGTAACCCACATCCATCAGCCGTCCATTCCCCCGTTGTCGCAAGACTGCGGTCTTCATCGCAATGTGATTTTCTTTTGTTTTTCACACCTTTTTGTTATTATTATTTTTCTTTTTCACTCAGTGACAAACTGGCCGTCAAATCACCAGCTTAACAGGCCCAAACATCCCCGAAAAACAATAAATAAACAATGCAAGGACTCCGTGTGAGACAGATTGTGTGAGCAAGAAAGAGTATTTTTCTCTCGTGTGAAGTGATATTTCGTGTTAATTAGTTAGTCTCAACGTGTGCCTGACTAATCAGGACGATGGGCCAGTCCTCGAGCAACAGTGCACCCAATGGTGAGTCATAACTAATTAATAACAGTTAATTAATTGGGGGAAACAGTCCCAACAACAATGCGACCGATTTATCGTCAATTTTCTTATTAAATTGGCCGAAAAAATGGGTTTAATGCTGTAATTATGGCGTAAATAATTATTCAATTTTGCGGCTGTCGTTTTAATCACTCGGAGGGGCTAATTAACACCCCAATTGTCGAGCCGGAAGGATTGTTTGAGGTTAGGAGCATCCGCAGGGGCATTATTACCCCCGAAAATAGCACGAATGTCGGTATTTCGAGTCTGGAATTACTGGTGGAGCAGTTGGGGGACATGCGACACTGGAGGTGCATTAGAAATTGACAACTGTCACTTACGAATGGTCAGTTGTATCGGTTTTGGGGTTTGACGGCGAGAGAGCGAGGGAGAGAGGGGGGATTATCGACTGAGACGGGAAACAGCTGACAGCTCGAGCACCTGTATATGTTAGGCCATGAGCAGGGGAAATTCGAATTTTTGCATTATTGGGTTCATTGGTGGAAGATGGAGGTGATTATGTGGTTTCGGGGGATAATTAGATGTGATCAATTACTCGGGGGGGGG